TTTAAAGCAGTAGAGTTCCAGAAGGCCGGAGCCAGGGAGAATCACATGGTCTCAGTGCTTTCTTTCCTGCCAGAGACGACTGACTGGCCCAGAAGCTGGACAGCGTTTAGTTGGGTTAATCTGTTAATTTAGTCCATCCACCCATCACAGTTCCTTCACATTTAAGCTGCTTCCTCATCAGCTAGTCCTTATTTTTGGTCTCTCAAGAGTTTAAGACAGGACTATTGCAGCTGGGCGTGGTGGCGCATGCCTTTAATCCCAGCACTTGGGAGGCAGAGATAGGTGGATTTCTGTGGGTTGGAGCTTGGTCTACAAAGTGAGTTCCAGGCCAGCTGGAACTACAGGGGGACCCTGCCTCAAAAAAAAAAAAAAAAGACAAGATAGGACTGTTCCAGAGAGAAGAGCTCCCTTTCCCACGGCCAGTTCTGTGGGACCCTACATGTTCCCAATAGTTTGGAGACTGCTTCTTACACGTCAGAGGGATGTAGGGAGACAGACAAACCCAGAGGCAGGTGACCAGAGGGTGCAGTGGGGCACACTGGAAAGCACAGCCACTAGAATTCTTTCATTGATTGATTTGTGTAGTTGCATATGTGCGTGTTCGCATGTGCGTGTGTGCATGCATGGGTGCCCATGGGTCACAGCACATGCGTGGAACTCAAAGAACAACCTGAGTGGGGTTCTCTCCTTCTATCACATTGTTTCTGAGGATTGAATCAGGCTTGGTAGCAAGTGCCTTTACCCATGAGCCATCTTGCTGGCCCAGTGAGAGTCTTATACTAGTAAAACAAGCTCTAAACATTCAAATGTTTTAGGTTCTAGAAACCTAGTCCTAAGTGTACAGGGAGGTTTGACTGGGCTCCTGACTTGGTTTATAATGCAATAAAGGGAATATGCCTTTGGCAGGAGCCGCGCATCATTCCTGAGTTTAGATTTTCCTCTGTTCTGATTCTGGGCTGGGAAGTGAGCCACAGTCAGCCACAGTCAGCCCCCAAACCACAAAGGGAAATCATTATGCTCTGCAGCGGCTGAATTTGGATGCTTGGTATGGCGGGTATATTAAATGTACTTTCAACCTGCAGTAGTTTCAGTTTATAATGAACTCATTAGCATATATATCAATTACTTTTTTGTTGTGAAAAAATCTAACCAAAGCAATTTAAGAGAAAAAGGGTTTATTTTGACTGACATTCTGAGGGTGCAGTCCATCGCGGTAGGGAAGGCTCGGTGGCAGGAGCGTGAGGCAGCTGGTCACTTTGCATCAACAGGAAGCAGAGAGAGAAGAGCGTGGTACTCAGCTTGCTTTGCCTTGGGATGGTGCTTCCCACATTTAGGGTGGTCTTTCCACCTCAGTTAACCCAATCTAGAAGCTCCCTCACAGACACGCCCAGAACTGAGCCTGCTGAGTAATTCTAGAGTCTGCCCAGTTAACAATCTGTAGTCGCCATACAGAACATGACCCCCAGAAGACGTACCCATCTTCGGGACCGTTGCCCCCAAATCTGCATTCCCCATGTTTTAGTTTCATCTCTGTTTCTCTGATAAAACTCTGACCAAAAGAAACTTAAGGGAGGAAAGGGTTATTTTAGATTACACTTCAGGTCCCAGTCCATCCCTGAGGGACGTCTACCCAAGGCAGGGACCTGAAGGAAGGCTCCTCGATATTCCTACAGTGTTACCTGCAACCGAGGAGCTCACTTCACAGTCAGACAAGTATGGCAGGAGCTGCGGAGGGTGCTGCTGGCCGCTCAGAGGCCGGCTTATACCTGCTAGCTTTCTTAGACAACTCTGGATACTTGCGTAGGGATGGTGCTGCCCACAGTGGGTGGGACCCTCCTACATCCATTAACAATCAAGATAATCTTCCACAGACCTGTTCTCAGGTCAATCTGATATAAGCAATTCCTCAAGTCAGTTTCCTTTCAGATGACTCCAGGCTGTGTCGAGTTGACAGTTAAAGGTAACCAGGACACCCGGTGACTTGCTTATTTTTGCCAACCCTGCCAGGCAGGTCATCACAGGGACCCACATGCCTGACCCCAGGTGGACAGCCCAGTTCTGTCATCACATGTCCTTACCCTGTAGTTTTTCAGATTCCCCAGCTAAAATCCAACGCTTCCATTTGGAGTTTGAGGGATGTGCTGGATAGCACATTGTGCTGGCTAGCAGTGTCAACTTGACACACCTGGGTTGAGGGAGCCTCAGTTGGGGAATTGCCTCCATAGGACTGGCCTGTGGCCATGCCCATGAGGAACCTTCTTGATTGTTGAGTGATGTGGGAGGGCCCAGCCCACTGTGGGTGGTGCCACCCCTGGGCAGGTGGGCCTGTGTTGCATAAGAAAGCAGGCTGAGCAGGGGGGAGATGTAAGACAAATAAACCCTTTCCTCCCCAAGTTGGTAGTGGTCAGAGTGTTTTGTCACAGCAGTGGAGAAACAAACTAGGACAAGGGGCTCAGGCCATCCATACCTCCGCTCAGCCTGGCCACAGTGTGAAGAGGTAACTGCTCAGGGAGTGTCTGCTTGTGCCTTGCAGGTGAAGGGTACCGAGCAACAGCCCCAGATGGTGTTCACGGTCCGCCACGCCACCGTCACCTTCCAGACAGACGGGGACACGTGGCGGGAGCAGAAGGAGCAGAGGGCGGCCCTCACTGTGGGCATCCTCATCGGGGTGTTTGTGCTCTGTTGGATTCCGTTCTTCGTCACTGAGCTCATCAGCCCCTTGTGCTCCTGGGACATCCCGGCCGTCTGGAAGAGCATCTTTCTGTGGCTCGGCTACTCCAACTCCTTCTTCAACCCCCTCATCTACACGGCCTTCAACAAGAACTACAGCAGTGCTTTCAAGAACTTCTTTTCGAAGCAGCAGTAAGGAGAGGCTGGGGTAGGATGCAGTTGTCCCCTAGCTAGTGGACCAGCCCAGGTCATGAACTTTCACAGTCTGCCCAGCAGCCACAAGTTCAAGATCCAGCTCCCAGTGGCAGCAGGGTCATCTCAGAGCTTAGCTCGCCCCACCTCTGTGCTCAAGTGCAGGGAGCTGTCTTCATCCAGGCTCTGGAGGCTCACGTCCCCAGATGAGCTGAGTACTCTCCCTCACTCTGCACCAGCAGCCACGGATTTGGCCCACAGAATACCCATTCCTCCTCTAAATTCACTCTAGCATGGCCGAGGGCCTTGACCTAGAAAAGTTGAACAAAGCAGGAAGGAGGGAGGAAAGTGGAGGAGGTGGAACACTGCGGGATAAGAGAGACAGGAAAGAGCGCTGGACCTAAAGCCAGGTGTGCTCATAGGAACTTGGAATTACAGCACTCGAGTGGCCGAAGCAGGAGGTCTCAAACGTGAGGCCAGCCTGGGCTACACAGTGGGTTCAAGACCAGCCTGAGGTTTTGTTCAATGTAAACACACACACGCATGCACACGCACATAAACACATGCTATAGAAGAGGCAAGTATTCTAGTTAGCAAAATTAACTCCCGAATTCAATTTAACACCTTGGAACTGGCCAAATGAAATAATCTCCTTCCATTTTGAAGCATCTGTGTACAAACATAGAAAAATCTACTTTCATGGGATCTGAAAAAATTGTTTGCTAAAGGTTGTGTGTGTGGCATTCCTTCAGCTGTTTGTGGCACAGGCTTCATCCTTGGTTCGGAAGATTAGGGGTTAATGACTGTCACGGAGTGCTTGATGTCTTGATGTTGTGTGGCCACATTCATCAGACACATACTTTGACAGGAGAGCTGGTTATTTTTAATGTGCTGTTTTGCTGGTACATGAAGCTGGCCAGTAGGTAAGTAAGGAGATGGGCAGAACACTAGCCAAGTGTGGCTAACAATAGCCAAATGTGGCCTCCATCAAGTTGGTGGTGTAACTGGTGAGGCAAGACAATCTGGTAAAAACATCCTGTTTACATGGTCATAAAAGCGGAGGGCACACCCACACCTCCAGAGGGAGTGTAGGAGCTTTGAGGACATCATCAAGGACTCCCAGGAGAGAAAGAGGAGCTGACTGTCTTTTCAGGACTGTGCGTGCACTGTCTTCTCCCAAGGACTGAGGGTGGCGCAGAGCTGTGGACCTCTCAGGTGCTGGGTTCCCAGCAAAGTCCTGATGTGAGCCAAGGACTATGCTTCAGACTTCAGTGGTGAGGCATGTCAGGGTTACTCTGAGTCCTCACCCAGTGAGCCAGAGATGCTGAAGTCACAGCAGAGATCCATAGAAACACAATTGTGTTTCTTCAGCTGGTTGGAAGTGCAATGATTTCATCCTCAAGAGCTTTATATTTTGAGCAAAGGACAAATTTTTCTGATACTCTGGGACCCACTGTCTGGGAGCAGCATCCTAGAACATCTGATGCACCAGAGGACTCCTTCTGAGCCAGGATGGAGCATGAACTCAGAGACCTCCTCAGGAGCGAACAGCTCACAAATCCAAGCTGTTTCTTGTAACATGGTTTTACTAATTATTTGAAGAAAGGCTTTTGACTTTGATCCAGTTAATAGAATGTAAGAATTTTTGTTGTTGTTGAGTCTGAATCCCCTGAAAACAACGCATGTAAATGTTGTAAACCTCGTAAATTCTACACTGCATCTTTCACTGCCCCTCTGTCATCGCCCTCATCGTCTGAAGGCCAAAAGGAAGTCGAGCGTCACAATTTCCTCTCCTTCTTTACAGCTCTAACTAGGAAGGAATCCATCTGCTAGTGAGGGGCCACATACCTCCACCCTAACAGTTATTTTATTCTGTCCTCACCACCCAAAGGACTCTGATTGCTTTTTCTCTTCACGTGGGGGTGACTTTGCCCATAGCTTCAATTTACATCAAAACCCTCATTTATCATTCGAAACTTCCACAAGCTCTTGGGCAATAAAATTCTCCATTATCTGTCATATCCCTCGTAAATTAAAAATTGTGCATTATAACATGCACAATATACTTGTATTATATTGTATATAATAAAGTATATCAATATTCCAAAATGGGAATTTGTGATGATGTCTGTTGTTTTGACACGAAGTTATTCCTGCACTTCCTGTAAGAACAGCCTTTCTCTATGAGCGTGAGCTGGGGTAGAATGTCGGGCAGCCAGCATGGGGATTGTTAGACGCTGACTGCGGGCTTCTGGCCACACAGAATGCTCAGTGGCGAACTTAGACACTCCCTTAGTTCTCCCTTGCTTCTGACTGTTTACTTCCTGTTTTACCCATCCCCACTATAGCTTGGAGACACAGGGATCACCAGGTGCTAGTCCTTCCAGTGTTTGTAGGGGAAGTGTTCAGTTAATGCCACATTTTAAAAAGGTTCATTTCCTTTAAACTTTTCAGTAAGTGGTGCCTAAGATGTGTGGTTAAAATGTTCCCCCACTGCCCCATGAGTTTGTTAGAGAAAGATGTTACTACCAAATTAAGTACATCTCTAACTGAGGTTATTAGTTTTGTTTTTTTTTTGTTTTTTTTTGTTTTTTTTAATCTTTTTGAGACAGGGTCTCCCTGTAGCCCCAGCTGTCCTGGAACTCACTATGTAGACCAGGCTGGCCTTGAACTCACAGAGATCCTCCTGCCTCTGCCTCCCAAATGCTGGGATTAAAGGCATGTGCCACCACGCCCCGCCTGCTGGGGACTCAAACCCACAACCCCCGGCAAGGTGAGAATTGGGGATGAGTAAGCATGCCGTTCGCCAGCCCACGCTGCCCCCATTACCCAGGGACACTAAGATGCAACAGGGAGTCTAGTCAGGCAGGGACTCATTTATTGCAGGTGTTCCAAAGCTTATAAAGGCACCTGGAACTCCCCCCCTCCCCCACAAGGGTGTATCTTAAGGATGGTCACTCGCTGATCATGTACTCCTTGGCAGTGGGAAGTATTCTTCAGACTTTCAAAGCAAGCCAGGCCACGCCCCCAGTAACTTCCTTTCAGACTTATGCAAGATGAGGCCTTTAGGTCCCCACATATCCCCCTTTATATTTTTATTTTAAGGGCCAGACTGACTTTATTTCAAGGGATACCCACCTCATAGGCAGCTCCCTGAGGAGAGATGGCTATCTCCTTCCTCTAATCTTATGTACTTTTGTCTGTCTTAGGTTGTGTCACCTCTGATCAAGCCTTGCCCATCATTGGATCATGCTACCTGGCCATTGCATGTCCTATCTTAGGAGTGCTTGTCATGGGACATCTTACCCGTCTTTGGCTAAAAATGCGTCATGATTAAGGGCAGCCACATGGGTAATGCCAGCCCTTGACAGTCTTAGTCTCTGCCTAACTCGGTTAGCCAAGCATGGGCAACCGGAAGGGTCCTGGGGGAGTCCAAAATCATGAGGAGGTGGGCCGTGGCAGTTCCAAGGGTCCTCTCTTGCCAAATTATCTGGTAAAGACACTTAAAGATAAGCATTATCAAGAGAAACAAAGCAAGTCATGGCATAGGACAAGTTGAAATAATTCTGAGACCATGTACCTTTTAGCCAATCAGCCAGTTGTTAAAGAGGCTGACTGGCAATGAAGCCAAGGAACTGGGTCCTTTACCTCAGATGGATATAAATAAAGAGAGGAATTTTGTCTCATGAACTATTGTCCATGGACCGGCATGCTAGTCAGTTGGATCCTGGCCTACCCACTTAAGGTTTTTCCCAGGCACCCATATGGGGGTTGAA